AAAAAAAAAAAAAAAAAAAAAAAAAAGAATACTGACAAGTACTTTCCAGATCTTGAGGTTCAAAAAGTAGCCATAGGGAGGAAAGGTAATTCCACTAGCAGTGTCATCCTGTTTGAGTTACCAAAAGAACAATCCCCTGCTAAGCATTATATATGAGGACCTCTTAAAAGTCTTGTTAGCTGTTTTCACAGAACAGATGTGAAGGAGTTGAGATGAGAAAGAACAATCAACTAAATTTTATTTTCAGAGTACAAAAAAAAAATTTAAAAACTGATTAGGCAGAATTAGTTGTACCCCAAGATCTACACTTGCAACTGAACAGCACAAGGCTCAAGGGTCCCTTCCTTTTATTCCATTTTTAGCAGTTGTACCATCTTTAGTGTTTACTTTGGACACTGTGCAGATATCAGCTAGTTTTTCCCATCACATTAATTTTACAGTTCATATGTGTCTTTAACTTAATATTCTTTAACAGATATTTTCATTTTTTTATTGCTTGATGATAGCTGCAAAAAATTCAGTACATAAGAATTTTTATGATTACTGTGTGCATTTTTTTTTTCCTGTGTAAGTTATCTGCCCCAGAAACTGGTAGTAGAGATTAATGAACAGTTGAGCAGGCACTGGGTTATTTAAAAGAGTTTTTAATTACTCTATAGTTGGCGAGTTCATAGCTTATGTAGGATCTTTTAAATGAACTAACTGAAGTCCTCAGAAATTGCAAAGAATTTATCTGATGAATCTCTACTTGCACTGATTCTGATGCATGCTGGGTTTGCTGAATGGCCTTTGATTTTTGTGATCAATGGAAGGTGTGAAACTAAAACAAGATTTCATTATGTTATGGACAGGCTCCCATTGGGTTTCTAGTATTTTGGGTAACAGTAATAACTGATATTTCTTTCTTTGTTTTGTTTTTCTTCTGGTACCAGGAATCGAACTCACAACCTTGCGCTTGCCAGGCAGACGTTTTGCCGCTGAGCTAAATCCCCACCCCAATAACTGATATTTCTAATTAATTTTCTAATTATTTTTGGAGCAAATTAATTTTTTTTAGCAGTTTGCTGTACTTTGCTCTAGCTGCTAATTTTCATCACACTGAGTTTTGCAAATTTCGTAGAAACTTTGGACTTGCCTTCATTAGAAGGTACTTTAACTATAAGGCCATGGTGGTGGCACATGCCTCTAATCCCAGCACTCAGGAGGTTGAGGCAGAAGGATCAATCCGTTTAAAGTCAGCCTGGGCTACCAAGTGAGTTCAAGGCCAGCCTGAACTGCATAGTGAAACCCTGTCTCAAAAAGGCAAAAAATAAATAAATAAATCCCATATAACTAATTGGTATGAACACATAATGGATATTTTTCTGTCTTGTTTTGCTTATGTTTACTATAATTGTTCTCTTAGGAGTCATACATTTACAGTTGAATAAGTTCTGCATGGATTACAGGTTGATAAACTTATTGTAAAAATTTGTGTTTCATTACGAATACTTGTTTTGGGGGAAAAAATGTCCCAGGAAGTGCAGCGTTGGATGACACACCTGCTGCAGTGGGCTTCCCAGCTGCCTTTAAGGGATTCGGGTAGAGGCAAACTCTCTGGCCTGCTGTGTGACAAGGAAGTACATATTAAAGGAAAAGAAAACTACAAATCACATGGAAAGAAATCAGCAAGGCTGGAGAAGGGAGTTGGTGCAGGTTTTTTGGTTCTAAGTGTGGAAAGGTATGATGGGATTGACTTGTGTTTCTCCCCCCTCACCTTTTTAAAGCAAATTACATGTTACCAAAAGCACATGCTGTACATTTTCTTCCTCCTTTGTGTGTTTATAGTATTTTCAAAGACGGATAAATGAATTGAGTACTTCTGTGTGTGGACATATTCAAAGCTGTGGCTGCTTTTTGTGGAAAGGAAAACATAAAGAAGTCACTGCATTTCTTTTCCTAGCTCAGAAGTCACTGAGATGCATATTGTTTTAATGAAATTTAGAAATAAAACTGTTGTCTCCTCAATTGTAAAATCTGTTTTTAAAAATGCTGCTCCTCCTATCATTAGTCTGGTAACTGTTGGCCTGTTTTCTGCAAACTCCATCCTACAAAATTTAAACTTCAAAACTGTATTAACTTTTATAGTTAAACATTGTAATGAATAAACTACACTATAACAAAAAATCAAGTAGGTAAGGTATTGTGGGCCTGTAAGTACTATATAATTTCCTTTTTACTTTAGCTCTGACACCGGTAACCATTAGAACATAAACTACTTGAGTAGAGTTTTTGTTTTGTACACCAATATAACAAACTGTCCCCACAGATGTGTTATGTCCCCACGATTTCGCCATAATGAGCGCAATCACTGTGTACTGCAAACACATACTAATAAAAATAATTTTTAAAAAAGAGTGCCTGTTCTATGAGAATAGGCACTCCACACGCAGAATAAATACAAGAGTCTGCGCAGAGCCCTACCTCCAGTAAGAACTCAATACATAAAGATGGAAGAACGAGAGGAGTCTCGGGGTGCTGAAGTCCCCTGCCTACGATGTCATGACCAGTTGAGGGCTTAAACCCAAGGCTCCAGTTCTCAGGTCAGACTTTATTATTCACTCACCCACTTATTTTAGTTATTCAACTACCTATGAACATCTGCTATATGCCAACTACTGTGCTCCTCCTTCGTTCAAGGCACTGCATGGCAAAAGAGCAAGGCTAAAGGCCTGCTCTACCCTAAGCATAGGAGACAGCGACAGCGACAGCGACAGCGACTCGACATCGGTCCCACCTTCCGCAGAAAACCAGGGCTGATGTACTCCCAACACAGGCTTTCAGCTGAATACGCAGAAGCCCCGCCCATCGCAGATTTAGCCACGCCCACCACCAGGATCTTCTCTGGGTACTCTAGGGCGGTCGGGTCCGGGTCTCCGCGACCAGGCGCCGCTCTCGTCTCCCGGCCCCCGCCTCCCACAAAAGGTGATGACGTCACAGACACCACGACCGAGCTGTGGGCAGCGGCCGGGAACTTCCCGCGGCTGCGCCTCGCCTTCTCCTCACTCCTGTACTTCAGAAGGGTAACGGGTAGGGTCCTGCGGCCGGAATCTGTGGCTGGACTCTACGATCCCCCGCAGGAGCTGGGTCTTACCTTCTTAGTAGTCCGGCGGAAACTTCCGCTTGGGCTGGAGGAGCTGCGCGCGCATCCTTCACTTTACGACCAGTAGACGCCCGCGCAGGCGCTGCTGACTTCCCAACCACCTGCTCAGGCCGTATCCACCCGGAACTACATTTCCCAGACGCCTTCGCGGCAGGCCAACCCTCACACGGACCGAGGGAGAGATTATTTCCTCTTCGCTTACTTGCATTCTACTTTTTGGAACTCTTACTCTTCTTACTGCGCGTGTACCAGTTTGAAGCCTACCGAGATGAACTATAGGGAATCTCTCTACCAGGCAGATTAGATTACATTATCCCTCAATTCCGCCCCCTCAATTCGTCCCAGGAACTTCCACTTCTTCCTCAACGCGTTTCCATGGAAACCCCCTGGCAGTCTCTTTAGAAGTGGAAAAGTTTCGCAAAGGCAGGAGAGGGTGAGAGTTTATCAGAGTAAAAACTGGACTACAAAACCCTAACGCCACCTAGTCTTCTTTACGTATCCTATTTTCCAGAGTACTCAGTGGGGCCTCCGCGGACGTAGAAGCGGGCGGAGCCGGTAATACAAATATCGGCGCTCGCACAGCCCTCTGGGAAATACAGTCCCGCCTCCTGGGCGCGGAGGGTCCTGGGTAGAGGAGCTCCGAGGAGCTTCGCCAGGCGCACGAAGTTCTGTGAGGAGGCTCGTGTGAGGGGTTGGGTCTCCTGTTCCTTCGCAACGTGAGAAACGTTTGTTAACCCGGCGGACAGCAGTCTCGAGGTACAGCGGCGCGGTGGCTGGGGTCGCTGAAAAGTTTGCAGGATTGCAGGTTCTGTCCTTCGCGAGGGGTGACAGAAGCTAATGGCGCGACTTGGGCGCGGCGCGCAGCCTTTGGCGGTGGATATCTTGGTGAAAGCTTGAATCCTTGTGTTACAGAAAACAGACCAAGGGCCGAGGGTATAGCTCAGTGGCACAAGCTCCTGCCTGGCAAGCGCAAGGTTCTGAGTTCGATTCCCGGTACCCACCCCCCAAAAAAGAAAACAGACCAAACACAGGAAGAAACTGCACCAAGAAGGTTAGGAGGCAGTTTATTACACTGGTGAGCTTCTGACTAGGATCTCTCCCAAAAAGAGCGGGTTTGGGGGCTTTTAAAGGTAAAGTGGAGAGGGGGTTGACATCGTGGGTTGCTGAAGGAGTTTGAACATCGCACCTTACATTGCAAAGTTATCAGTTATACAAAGCATGGGTTACACAAAGGAAGAAATGTCCTGTTACATTTTAAATTACATTGCAAGACCATCAGTTATACTAAGGCAGGAGAGACAGGGGTTGCACAGAGGAAGAAATATTCTGTTAGCGGGCCTGCGGGCCATGTCCACTTGGTCTTGGCGGGCATCCTGGGCAAGCTTTTATTTAAAATTTTAATTTTCCCCCTTAGTTAATCAGGAAACTCATTTTCAGAGATGTTGGTGTTCAGGGCTGTGTAGGAGGGACCTGAGCTGAGTTAGCTGGAAGCTGATGCTGTTTATTTGCTTTGTAATGAAAGAGGTAAGCCAATTTAATAGACAAGGTCCTATTAGGAATATAGAGAGAAGGCTGATTAGTGGTCTCAGTGGAGCTTCTACCCATGGCTTCTAGTTTCCCAGGGAGCTCCGCCAGTAGGAGCCTATGTCTATCACAGGCCCACTGGTTTATTTGCTCTAGAAACTGGTGGGCAGTTTCTCTAGCAACACCAGACTTATTAGCATAATACCAACATTTTACCTCTAAGAACAAGCCAGTACCCGCTTGCTAAGTAGTGAAGTGTAAAGCTCTGAGCTTTTGGAGAACCACTGCAGCCAAGGAGTCGGTTTGGTCTTGGAGTGTGTCGAGTGCTCCTTGCACTGCTGTAAAATCATCCTCTATCTGGGTGCCCAATTGTAAGTACTGTTGTTGGCCCATGCCCAAGGCAGTGGCACTGAGGGTTAGACTCCCTGCTATTGCTATTCCAGCCAAAATTGGTAGCATCACATTTTTGTGGGTGCTGGTAGCCATAGGTGAGGCCCTGTTGACCTGAGTAGACGGAGAGGTCAGGTACGAGGTAGGCAAGCACACAGAGACTCATTTTTTGTGCTCAAAGATATCCAATAGACTCCTTCAGAGCAAATAAAGAAGATCCTATGAGGGGTCATCAGGGAGCCTGAGGTAGCAATCAGAGCAGCTATACAGTCAGCTGAGACCTTTGGTTTCGCAGAGGAACCCAGGAGGCATGTAGCATTCCGTTATACCTCCATTGGGTGGGGCTGGAGTAAGGGACCAGGTATAGAGGTAGAGTTAAGGTTGGTGCCATTTGGGGTAGACCTAAAGCACAGTAAGAGAGGGCAGTGAAGGGTATGTAGAGCCAACAGTTGTTTACCAGTTTTGGATCTACAGCGTGGAAGAGCTGATGGGTACCGTTGACCAGGCACAAGGGGTCAGGTGTTGGGGGCCCTGTGTAATTAGTTGTGGGCACAGGGGCCAGTGGGAACAATGGTGGCATTGGGGTAGGGATTCTGATGCAGGGCTGGATAGCCCCAACTTCCATGATTTTCAGGATAGTAAATGGATCCAGTCCCTTCCCGTCTACCAAGACAGTCATCCAGCAACCAGATGCCCATTCCTGATGTGCGGGGTACCTAATGGTATATTTTATGGGGCACTTTGGATCAGGTTGGAGCTGAGTCAGAAGGCTATTTAGAGACACACCCCCCCCATAGTCTATAGTGCAGTCTCGCCTAGGGCAAAATGCAACATCTGCTTCACCTTTGCTCTTGCAGTAGCCCTTTCCTTGGCACCATTCAGGACAGATATATTTCTTGTTGGCTCAGTGCTCTCATTCCCATTTTAAACCTCCACATCCTATGAAATAGTCATGGGCATCCTGACTTGGGTTGTTGACTTGAATTGGGCATACATCAAAATAAAGATACACGTTAGTTCATGAGAGGGGTCCCATCTGGTCCGGTTGAGAATCACCATGTGACCAGTGCCATAAAGTTGGGTTTGAAATTCCCAGTGCCCAAGTTTGCCCAGCAGATAGTGGGTCAAGCAGGCTAAGCAGGAACAGATGTCAATTAGTTATGGCAGTCATTTTAACCTGTTTTTGTTTGGTTTTGGTACTGGGAATCAAACTCAGGACCTTGCACTTGGCAGGCAGGCACTGTGCTGCTGAGTTGTATCCCCAGCCCTATTTTAACTTTAAGAAAGGCGGTTTAGAATATTCAGTTCTACAGTTACACCAATATAGAAGAGAATGAAAGCAACCTGATGTGGAACTTCCCAATCCTCTGGGGACACAGCCCAGAATCCTAGGGCAAATACTGTGATAACAGGAGATAGGGACTCAGAAAGCAAATTGGATATCAAAACATGAATTAATCAGGGCAGAAGCTCCAGTGTATAATGTCCGTCCAACTTCAGCCTTACATTGACCTTTCAGCTTCTGGAGTGATGAGAGCAGGGTTTTGAGTGTGTTGTCTCCTCTGAGTTGTCTTCAAGGGAGCTGACTCGTCCAGGTAGGCTTTCCAGCAGTCATCGGGTGAGCTTTCTTGACCTGAAAGTGATAGACCCATGGCTGAATCTTGGAGACACTGCTGTGGGAATGGTCAAAATAATTAAGTAGGGGCCCCTCCAGATAGGTTGTAGGGGTTCCTTTTTTTTTTTCAATCTTGTATCCAAACTATATCCCCAGGGCTATAGGTGTGGGCAGGCTATATGTGTGGGTATGGCAGGCCTCTCAGCTATATTTTTGTGCCTTTGAGGAGAGGTTTTTCCTGACTCTGTAAGTTGTTCCTGCAGAGATATGTTACCTAGCTGATGTAGGTCTTCCTGAAGACCCATGAGTATGGGTGGGGGGTCTCCCATACAAAAAACTTCAAAGGGCGTATATCCTGTGGGCCCTGGTGAGCTTCAGACCTTGAGGAGAGTCATAGGAAGCGAATCTACCCATGGTGCCTGGTGATATTTAGTCAATATTGACTTTAAAGTCCTATTTATTCTTTTAACTTTTTCAGAGCTTTGTGGCCTGCATGCTGTATGTAAATTCCATCTGATTTTTAATTCTTTAGTTGGCTTCTGGGTTATCTCTGCCACAAATGCAGGCCTATTATAGTTGCCTATGGTTGGGGGCAGCCCATATCTAGGGATAACTTCTCTTAGTAATACAGTGGCTTTTTCTGTTCTAGTGGGAAATGCCTCTGGCAACTCAGTAAGTACCAACAGAATAAGTACAGACAAGTACTAGGAGATACTTGTAGCCTCTACATGGCTTGACCTCTGTAAAGTCTATGTGCAGATCTTCAAAAGGGGAAAGTCCAGCATGTTGGGTACTGGATGAGGGTTTAGACCCTGATGAGGGTTCAGTCCTTGCATAGGTTTGACATCACTGACTAACAAGCACAAATGGAGGCTAACTTTGGAGTATAATAGTAGTGGCTTAGAAGCTGATTCATAGCAGTTTTTTCTCCATGGGTGCTGTCATAATGACATTTTACCCAGGCATAGACCAAATTCTGTGGAAGAATCTTCCGATTGTCTGGTAAAGTCCAAGTACCACTTGGGCCCATGTAGGCCCCTTCTTGTTGTGTCCATTTAATTTTCTACTTAGAGTGGCAGAGGGTCCTGCTGTGGAGACTGAGAGCAGTTTTAGGAAGTATTTCATGTTGGGTTTCCAGATTCTGTACTAAATCATTTATTCCCCAGGTGGAGCCTTCTGCCAATTTGGCTGCTTTATCTGCTTTGTGATTGCCAAGAGTGACAGTATCCTTTACAATGGTTAATGGCAACCTTCCTAGGTTTCCAGATTACAGTCAGGAGTTGAGAAATCTCATCCATGTTTTTAATTTGTTTTCCTTCTGCTGTCAAAAGTCCACACTCCTTGTATAACATTCTATAGACACGAACAGTTGCAAACCCATACCTCAAATCTGTGTATATATTTACATTTTCCCCTTTAGCTCCATTGAGAGCTTGTATTCCACAGTTCAGCCTGTTGAGCAGACCAGTTTTGGGGAAGAGGCCCGGCTAGGAGCACCTCCTCTGTGGTAACAGCAGCATATCCAGCTTGACATTTTCCATCCTTGATTGAGCTACTTCTGTCTGCGAAGAGAATGTTCTCAGGATCAGACAAGGGTTCCATCTGCGGATCTGGCCAGCTAACAAAAACTCATCACTCAAAGCAAGACAGTCATCGTCAAGGGAGCCAAGCTCAGTGGGCAGGAAGGTGGCTGGATTCAGAGGTTTAGTCAGTTGGAAAGTAAGTCAGGGATTTCCACAAAGTCTTCCTTGATACTGGGTGACTTGGCTGTTGGAGAGCCAGCTATATTGGTAGTTATGCAGGAGGTCAAGTACAGCATGTGGCACCTGGATGCTTAGTTCTCAGCCTATGGTGAGCTTGTCAGCTTTCTTGATCAGAAGGACAATGGCTGCCAGAGCATGGAGGCAAGGGAGCTGCCCTTAGCAACTGGATCTAAGTGTTTTGACAGGTAAGCCACATGACACTACCAGGGCTGACAGCATGAGTAAGCATCTTTGAAGCCACGTGTCATTATTTATCAACAAACGAGTTAAATGGGCAAGTCATATGGAATTCCTAAGGCTGGGGCTATAGAGGGCCTTTTTAATGTCATTGAGGCTTTTTTTGTTTTGGGTTTTAGTCAAAAGTATCGGAGTCTTTTCTAGACAAGCTGTTGCAGAGGCCTTACTTTGGTTCTGTGAACTAAGGGATCCAGATTCTGTAGAATCCAGCGATTTTAAGGTATTTA